CTTGCAGAGCTTGCAGGAATTGGGGCTGGAAATCAGGAAGCGAGCCGTGACGCTGGGTCTCGTGCCTGCAGAAAGGCGAGTCCTGCTGTGAGGCTGCAGCTCCCCAGGTCTGCAGCTGGGGCTCAGTCTCCCATCCTATGGCAGCAGTGCCTGCCCCCTGGATTTGGGGGACAAGAGGTGAGTTCTGCTGCATCTCTGCTGGTGTGAGGACACCTGCATGCTGTGACCTGGGGAACACAATTCCCCTGTGCCCCAAACTGATGCACAGGTTGTCCTTTATTAAGGTAACTTATCTAGCACTTAACCATGTCCTTCTTCATCAGAACTGTCTTTTGTCATCAGACTCTTGATCAGGAACTGTAGTAATAGGACAAGGAGTAATGGGTATAAATTGAAAGAGGGGAAATTTAGGTATTAGGAAGAAGTTATTTAGCATGAGTGTGGTGAGACACTGGCACAGGTTGCCCATGGAGGCTGTGGCTGCCCCAACCCTGGCAGTGTTCAAAGCCTGGTTAGACAAAGACTTGAACAACCTGGTCTGGTGGGAGGTGTCCCTGTCCAGGGCAGGGGGTTGGGACTAGATGATCTCTGTGGTCCATTCCAACCCCTTAACATTCCATGATTCTATGATATATCCATTTCTAGGAGCAGGGAAGTGCCTGTGTTGCTGCATCCCAGCCTGCCTGGTTGCTGCCCTCCCTGCCTGATGGAGCCAGCGCTGGCAGAAGATCCTCCTCGAGGTGGCTGGCTGAGCCCAGTGCAGGACCACTAGTGGGACGTGGACGGTGGTGTGTGCCACCCTAGGAGGGACAATGGCTCAGGGCACTGGGAGCATCAACAGTGACTACAAGGATTGGGAGTGGAGCGACGATGCCGGGGAACGCGCCAGGCTCCTGCAGAGCCCTAGTGTGGAGACGGTGCCCAAGAGTGCAGAGAGCCAAGGAAATGGTCTGGGGGCCACGTCAGCTTTGGGAGCTGTTTTCATCGTGGTCAACGCTGCCCTCGGGGCTGGGCTGCTCAACTTCCCTGCTGCCTTCAGCATGGCCGGCGGCGTGGCTGCAGGGATCACCCTGCAGATGGTGAGCGGGTGGGGAAGGGACAGTCCCCTGTCCCATCCTGGAAGGGGGCATGGGAGGGACATGTGGAGCCCCAGAAAGGGCTCAGGGAGGACCAGGCACCTGGAAAGAAGTTCTGTTGTGTGAAGTGCACCAGAGATGCTCAGTGTGTTCAGGGGTGGCTGCCTGGGGTGACTTTGGGGACCAGGTGATGTCGTTGCCTCAGTGTCTCCTCTCTGTCTCTTCCCTGCCCCAGTGCATGTTGATCTTCATCATCGGAGGCTTGGTCATCCTGGCATACTGCTCACAGGCCAGCAATGAGAGGACCTACCAGGAGGTTGTGTGGGCTGTCTGTGGGAAGGTGCCTGGTGTGCTGTGCGAGGTGGCCATCGCTGTCTACACCTTTGGCACCTGCATTGCCTTCCTCATCATCATTGGAGACCAAGAGGACAAGAGTAAGTGTATCCCACGGAACAAAAAATAACCAGTTGCTGTCCCTTTAGCTGGAAGGACAACCTGACTGTCCTGTTGTCCCCACAGTCATTGCTGCCCTGGTGAAGGAGCCCGAGGAAGCTGGGAGCAGCCGCTGGTACACAGACCGCAAGTTCACCATCAGCATCACTGCCTTCCTCCTCATCCTGCCTCTCTCCATCCCCAAGGAGATTGGCTTCCAAAAATATGCCAGGTGGGTGGGGGAGCCCTCTGGGACTGGGAGCTGGGGTGGGCCAGCCAGCACCCACAACCAGCATGGTCACAGGGGATGGGGAGTGGAAATGCTGTGGTTCTAGTGCCATATCTGCCTGCTCACCCTCTGCCTTCATGTGCCCCTGTTTCCCCATCTGGGAAGCAGAGCTGCTGCTAAGCACTGTGTGGCCACAGTGTCATCCTTTGGGGCTTGTGTCCCTCCCTTCTCACTGAAGGAAGCAGGGAGAGCTGCTTGCAACTGTGTTGTTCCCTGTCTTTGGAGTTGGCCATCCAGCAGAAAGAAGAGCCAGTAAGGGTTACCAGGTGGGGTGGTTTGCAGGCCAGCCCTGCTTCACCAAGCATCTTGGTGTAACCTGACTGCTGGAGCTGGGCCAGGCTCTGGAACAGGCTCCCAGGGGAAGTGGTCATATCACCAAGCCTTTGGACAATGCTCTCAAGCACATGGCCAAGAGTTGAACTTGATGATCTGCCACTCACAGGAGCACAGGACAGCCCCCGAGCGCAGCAGAATTGTGTTGACATCTGCTCAGGGGACAGTGGGTGGCAGTGCCTGGCATATTCCCATCGGAAGGGAGAGCAAGGATGGTCCTGATGGGGAGGAGTAGGGTGGCCTAGGCTGTGCAGAGAGGAAGGTGAGGCTGGACAGGAGACCTTCCACAGTGCAGGGAGCATGTTAATGGCCTCCTATCCCCTCTCACAGCTCCCTCAGTGTGATTGGCACCTGGTACGTCACAGCAGTCATTATCATCAAGTACATCTGGCCTGACAAGGAGCTGGTGCCTGTGGAGATCCCCACCAGGTGAGAGCAAAAGACAGGACAGTGACCATCACAGCACTGCAGAGCCTGGCAGGGGTGCAGGAGCAAGGGCTTCATAGGTTGGGGACAGTCTTTCACGAATCCCATCCCTGGACCTAGAGACACTGTGTGTTGCTGCCAGAAGCTCCCAAGTGCCTGCACTTCTGCATGTTTCAGAGTAGCAGGTGGTGAACAAGATGAAAAGGAGCTCTTGAAGATCCCCATGACTCCATCACAGGTTTTGAGGAGCACAGATTGACTCTTAGCTTTGATATATCCAGGCCCTGAGTTCCATGCGCAGTGCTGGTGCTCACCCAGAAACAAGGGCTGTGTCTATTTTTGGATGATTTTGGCTATTTCCTTGTCCAGCATAGCCCTTGTGGCTTGTTCCCTCCCTCACAGTGTGGGGATGTTTCTGGACCCAGTGCAGCCAGTGTGAATTTTAGGGCAGAGCAAAGGTTTGACCAGTTTTCTGCACTGCCCAACTAGATGATTATTTTTTATTGACACTTTTAGTTTTGTATGCTCAGGTTTGGCTGGTTCTGTCTCAGTGAAAGACCCTGGTCTTCAGGGTGTGCCAGGTCCCAGGAAAACCTCTCTCCAAGCAATGGCATCATCCTGGGCGGGGGGATGAAATAACAGCAAGGACACAGAGCACTCCCAGCTCATTCTCCCCAGGGACACTGGGTGGGAGGATGCAAGGGGCCCTGGTCTGACCAGTGGATGTTTCTCTCCCACCAGCCCCTCCACCTGGACAGCTGTCTTCAATGCCATGCCCACCATCTGCTTTGGGTTCCAGGTAAGGCCATGAGCTCAGCACTCCCCTTCCATCCTGTGGTTGCTTGGGTAGGAGACCAGCGTGGTTCAGGGATGATCCCCCGGATGATCAGCTAAAACCATGTGCTCACTGTATGACTTTGTAAGGGGGCTGAAGCCTTTTTAACGTCTCAACACCTCTGGATGGAGATGGATCAATTTTACCCCAGCTGGGAAGTAAAGAGCAGCCTGTCCCCCTGTTTTCTTCTCCAGTGAAACCAGGGGAGGTCATGATATCACAACAAACCTGGGATATCACAGGTGGGATCCATATGGCTCAGCTCATCGTGTATCCCTGCCCTCTCTCTGTCCCTGGCAGTGCCACGTGAGCAGTGTGCCCGTCTTTAACAGCATGAAGCAGCCGGAGGTGAAGACCTGGGGAGCAGTGGTGACAGCAGCCATGGTGATTGCTCTCTTCGTCTACACAGGCACTGGTGAGTGAGGGGACACCATGTGAGTGTGGCACAGTCTTTGGAGTGACTGTGAGCTTCTGGAGGGCACAGACTCTCTGGTCAGCAAGAGACAGAGCAGGAAGGGAGAGGAATCCATCTAACCCCCTCTGCCATGTGCCCTGTGCCACATCCATCCAAGTCTAGTCCTTCAAACACACATGCAGGAGACTTGTCCCTGTCCCTGACTGCTCCCTTCCTGGCAGGTGTCTGTGGCTTCCTAACCTTTGGAGCTGGTGTGGAACAGGATGTCTTGATGTCCTACCCCTCCAATGACATCCCTGTTGCCCTCGCCCGGGCCTTCATCATCCTCTGTGTGCTGACATCCTACCCCATCCTGCACTTCTGTGGCCGGTGAGCACTGGGAGCAGGCAGGGGCTGGTGTGGGCAGGAGGGGCAGCACAGGGAAACCCTCCTGCCCTGGATCTGTGCCCACAGGGCTGTCTTGGAGGGTCTCTGGCTCCGCTACACTGGGGTGACAGTGGAGGAGGACGTGGTTCGAGAGCGGAGGAGACGCCTTCTTCAGACCATCAGCTGGTTCCTCCTGACCCTCCTCCTGGCTCTCTTCATCCCTGACATTGGCAAAGTCATCTCTGTCATTGGGGGCTTGGCTGCCTGCTTCATCTTTGTCTTCCCAGGTAGGGCATTCTGAGGTGCTCAGGGGCTGGCAAAGGTCTCTTGGGAGGGAGCAGGATGGAGATGTGGGAAACAGAAGGATTTTAGAGAAGGACAGAAATGTGGTGTGATGTCAGTCAGCAGCCCAATGATTTTGATTGGACTCTGTGCCTGTAACAGGGAGTGCAGTTCCCTGGCATGTGGAGTGTCTGCTCAGTCCCCAGGGGATGGTCCTCATCTGGGTCTAATTTGCCTCTCCTGCCTTTCAGGGCTCTGCCTGATTCAAGCCAAGCTCTCCGAGATCCAAGAAACTAGGGCAATCAGGTAACTGAAATGTGCATCCTCTCTGCCCCCTTTCCCTGTGGATATTGGGCTGAATAACCCCTCTAAACATGCCCTGTTCTCCTGCATCCACAGCTGGTGGGCCCAGGTCAGTTATGGGGTGTTCATGGTCACCCTTGGAGCCTTCATCTTCGGACAGACGACTGCCAACGCCATCTTCGTGGATCTCACAGCCTGACTCCTCCAGGCTGGACTGCACTCCTGCTGCTGAGGGGACACAGATATCCCCTGGGACCAAAGGGAAGTGGGAAGAAAACACGTTGGCGTGTTGGGAAGATCCAAGAGGAGCGTTGTAACTTGGGGCTTGGCTGAAAGAGCCCTGCAGTGGTTTGTATCTCATTGTCTTAATGCACCAGGCAGTCAGGCTTCTCTCAGCCCTGGCTCCCTGGGAAAACCAGAGCATCACTACAAGGTGACCTGTGGTCCAGGCCAAGAGCTTCCTGCCCCTTGGGGCAGGCATCACTCCCTTACACATCACTACAGGGTCATGGTTGAGGTTTGTGATGCCATGCTGCTCTCATCCATGTGCCCCTGTGCTGATGGATCTCCTCTCCACAGCTTAAACTCCTTCTCCCAACTTTGGAGGGAGAAAAAGTGTTTTGCAAAAAGGGAACTATTAATTATGTTTATCAGACAGGGCGACACCCCCGTAGTCTTTTTCTGTGTCAGTGTTTGGTTTGAGCTCTGCTTTCCTGTGGCTCAGCCCACCAATCTCCTGCCCCTGCCCTCACATCTCCCTCTGCCTGGGCTGCACTTTCTGTTACAAAAAGGGACTGTCGCCTTCATCCTGATTTTTTTTTCTTGAGAGGATCAGGATGCCCCTGAGGCAGGGACACAGTGGTGCAGTGTCTTCCCTGCCAGGGGTTGCTCACTCCGTAGAGGTGCTGTAACTGCATCAACCTACTGGAAACACTAGAGCAAAGCTCTTCTCCAAATTTACAATCCTGTTCTTCCAGGTGTCCAGGGAATGAGACTGGGCCAGGTGTAGGTTTTAAGGGATGCTTTGAAGATGAAGCAGTCAGTATTAATCCATTTCATATTGTTCCTTTGGTCATTACACTCTCCGTAGCTGGTGTTGCTCTGGGCTGTCCCTCTGTTGCCTGTCTGGATGGTAGTTTCATTCCTGGCTGGGTTGAGGACTTCCCCCAGTTGCAGATTTGGCAGCGGGAGTTAAACCTCAACAGCAAAACTGCTCTTGTTCTCTCTTTGAGTTTCTTTTCTCTTTGGCTTCTAAAATCCTGGGGGAGGGAGGAGTTCTGGAGTATTTATTGGTGCATCTATGATGTGGGTCCAGCCCAGCTTTGTGCCAAACCTGGCCTTGCCACTCCTGCATCTTCTGGAAGCAGCCCAGGCTGTCATGGAGGGAAGTGAGCCGTAGTGTGCTCCTGTGCTTCTCAACATGGCTCTCTCCCTGTGCAACCAGAGGCTGTGGGTGGGATCACAGCATTCGGGTACTTGGGATGAGTCAGGAAGACCCAGATGGAAGAAAAAGAAAAGCCCCAAGCACAAGGGATGCTGTGAAGACACAAGTCCCCCCTGCCTCTCCCAAGGTACCTCCAACCTCTGTACCCTCAACTCTGGGTAAAACCAGGCTCCAGGAAACCCCTCACTGGTATGGCACCAGCTTTCTCCCAAGCCTCTTCACCTGGCTCCTGCCTGCAAGCAGGCACTGGGGCTTGGGAGACCCTTTGGCATGAAGACATCCACTCGTCTTGGATGTGGAGGCCACCTCCCATGGAGCCCAGCAGAGACACTGGAGGCTCAGCAGTTGCCAACTGATGCCTTTCATTGCCTGTCCCCACTGAGATGGAGAGAGGGCTGGCACCCAGTGGGTCCTGTGGCTCTACTTTCCTGAAGCTGTGCTGGGCATGAGGAGGTCTCATGGCTGCAGTGGAGGAAGATTCAGTGTCCCACATCTCTGGTTGTCACCCGAGGAGCAGCTGTACTCCCTCGATCCCCCTGGAGTGTCCGTGTGGCTCAGGGCAGGGCAGGGCAGGGCTGGGGGTGCTGGTTCCTGCCTGCCTTACCACTCCCCTGACTGTTTACAAACATTGGCCTTTTCACGTGTTTGATATGTGCAGGACGTGGAGGGACCTCGACTCAATAAAAGTGACGTTGTGGTGCGTGTGCCAGACACAAGGTGCTCTCTGTGAGATGGAGATGCTCCCGGGTGGGATACAGGGAGATATATTTGATGTATCTAAGGAAGGAAAACTCTCAAGTCTCTCAAGAAAAGCAGCATCCTTTAGAATGTGAATAGCATTTATGGCTCCTTACTGTTTTGTCTCACCTAATGCTCTTTTTAACGCCCTGAAAACTGAGATGACTGCAGGATCCCTGTAGCAGTACAAAAGGAGTCAGGAGACAAAATGCTTCT